CCAGGCTGGGGATTCGAACCCGCCACCTTAGGTGTATGTGGCTGGCGCCTTAGCCCCTTGAGCCACAGGCACCGAGCCATGTCTCTGTTTTTTTTAACAAAATAATTTACTTTTTTTTTTTCTTTTTGAGACAGAGTCTCACTATGTCGCCCTCAGTAAAGTGCTGTGGCATCATAGCTCACAGCAACCTCTAACTCCTGGGCTTAGGCAGTTCTCTTGCCTGTGCCTCCCTAGTAGCTGGGACTACAGGTGCCTGCCACAACGCCCTGCTATTTTTTTGGGTTGCAGTTGTCATGTTTTTTTTAGCTGGCCTGGGCTGGGTTTGAACCTGCCAGCCTTGTTGTATGTGGCCATTGCCCTACCTACTAGGGTGATGGTGGAGCTACGGGCACCACCTCTACTAGGTGGAGCTACGGGCACCACCATTAACAAAATAATTTAAATAATTGAAATTCATAGAGTAACTTGAGTTTTTGAGATGTTACTCAAACGATTTTTAATTTTTCTTTTTGTTCATAGACTGTGTGATTATTATTGCGAATATTGAAAATGTAGACTAGTACAAAGAGTTAGTACAGTATTCAAATCTTTTATAAACCAGATGTGGTGGCTCATGCCTATAATCCTAATACCCTGGGAGGCTAAAGTGGGAAGATGGCTTGAGCCCAGGAATTTGAGATTGTTGTGAGCTAGGCTGACACCACAGCACTCTACCCAGAACCGTAGAGTGAGAATCTGTCTCAAAAAAAAAAAAAAAAAGAAAGAAAGGAAAGAAATCTATATATTGTAATATAACCACCTTGAGATAGTCACTATTAACTTTTTTAGATCTTTTCTTTTTTATATTATTCTATCATTTTATCTTTTACGTACACTCATGACATTTTTACTTGGACTTTATGGCACAACTTTTTTTTTTTTTTAGAGACAGAGTCTTATTTTGTCACCCTTGGTAGAGTGCCGTGGCATCACAACTCACAGCAACCTCCAACCCCTGGACTTAGGCAATTCTCTTGCCTCAGTCTCCCGAGTAGCTGGGACTATAGGCGACCACCACAATGCCTAGCTATTTTTTTCTTGCAGTTTGGCCAAGGCTGGGTTCAAACCCGCCACCCTTGGTGTTTGGGGCTGGTGCCTTACCCATTGAGCCATAGGTGCTGCCCACAACTTTTTTCTGTTTTTTGGATACAGGGCCTTAGTTGCCCAGGTGGCATATACTGGTATCCTCATAGCTCACTGTAACCTCAAACTCCTGGGCTCAAGTGGTCCTCCTAACTCAGCTCCTGGAGTACCTGGGACTATAGAAGCATGCCAACACACCTGATTAATCTTTAAATTTTTTTTTTTTTTTTGAGACAGTCTCCAGCTGTTGCCCTGGGTAGAATGCTGTGGCATCACAGCTCACAACAACCTCTGACTCCTGGGCTTAAGCAATTCTCTTGCCTTAGCCTCCTGGCAGCTATTTTTCGGTTGTAGTTGTCATTGTTGTTTGGCGGGCCTGGGCTGGATTTGAACCCACCAGCTCCATTTATGTGGCTGGTGTCTTAGCTGTTGAGCTATAGGCACCAGGCCAAGTTTTTAAATTTTTTGTAGAGATGGACTCTAGCTACGTTGATTAGGCTGTCTCTAACTCCTGGCCTCAAGTGATCCTTATGCCTCAGACTCCCAAAGTACTAGGATTACAGCTGTGAGCTACCATACCTGGCTAGTTTTATATCTTAGTTTGCTTTTTTTCACTTACTATATCACGGACATTTTTCCTTATTAAATATTCAAAATACTACTTTTAATACATGAGTAATTTTTTAATATGTCTATGTTTAAGTCATTCTTGTTGTTACTTATAATGTACCTGTTTTAGTGCTTGCTTTTAGTGAGCTATTTAGAATAGCAGACACATGAGTATTTTCCGAGATTTAGGTTGGTGTTTGGTATATCCTAAGGGGTGGTTGATCCTAAATCCCTATGAAGAGATCTATTTTAATATCTTCTATGGACTTGGCGCCTGTGGCTCAAGCAGCTAAGGTGCCAGCCATATACACCTGAGCTGGCGGGCTCAAATCCAGCCCGGGCCTGCCAAACAACAATGATGGCTGCAACCAAAAAATACCTGGGCATTGTGGTGGTCACCTGTAGTCCCAGCTACTTGGGAGGCGGAGGCAGGAGAATCGCTTGAGCCCAGGAGTTGGAGGCTGCTATGAGCTGTGATGCCATAGCACTCTACCTAGGGTGACAGCTTGAGGCTCTGTCTCAAAAAAAAAAAAAAATCTTTGAATCAAGTCCTAATTGATGTACTTTTGTGGCTAGATACCTGTGGCTCTGTACCTGTAGCTCAGCTTCTAGGGCAGCAGCCATATACATTGGGGGTGGTAGGTTTGAGCCTGGCCCAGGCTGGTAAAACGACGACAACTGCAACAAAAAAACAGCCAGGTGTTGTGGCAGGAGCCTGTAGTCAGCACTCTACCGAGTGCAACATAGTGAGACTCTGTCTCCAAAAAAAAAAAAAAGAGAGAGAGAGATGGCACCTGTGACTCAAAGGGGTAGGGCGCCAGCCCTGTATACCGGAGGTGGCGGGTTCAAACCCAGCCCCGGCCAAAAACTGCAAAAAAAAAAAAAAAAAAAAAGCTGGAACATAGTTCCAACTATATCTAGTTGGAAGACATAGGAACTATAGTGAAGTGGAAATACATGTTTTCTAAGATATTTAAGTTTAAATCTCTTTAAAATGCTGTAGTTGGGCAGTGCTTATGGCTCAGTGAGTAGAGTACTGGCACCATATACCAAGGGTGGCAGGTTCAAACCAGGCCCCAGCCAAACTGCTACAAAAACAATAGCTGGGTGTTGTGGTGGGTACCTGTAGTCCCAGCTACTCCAGAGGCTGAGGCCAGAGAATCGCCTAAGCCCAAGAGCTGGAGGTTACTATGAGATGTAATGCCATAGCACTCTACCCAGAGTGACAAAGTAAGACTCTGTCTCTAAAAAAAATAAAAAAATAAAAAATAAAATGCTATGGCAGCCAAATAAAATATAGCTGATCTTCAAAGCCACTAGTTTTCAACCCATACAATAGGACTAAAAACAGATAGTTTTCCAATGTGAAAAAGAAAATATAATCAACACTTTTAAAATTTGTTTTAATTCTAGGAGAAACCTAAGTATTTAGGTATTTGGCAAGATGAAACCGTTAGGGTGCCTATGAAATTAAAAGAAGTATAATCTACATCTTAAATCTCAAGCAGTTGAATATAAAAGATGCTATTATCTTATTCAGAAATAGAATTTTCAGAGAATGCAGCAACTTGGAACCAGTCAATATCAGAAAGGTGTAGCACCAAGGATGCTGTATATAAAAGTTGATTTAGGCTCGGCACCTATAGCTCAAGCAGCTAAGGCGCCAGGCACATACACTGGAGCTGGTGGGTTTGAATCCAGTCCGGGTCTGCCACACAACAATGACAACTACAACCAAAAAATGGCCAGCGTTGTGGCAGGTACTTGTAGTCCCAGCTACTTGGGAGGCTAAGGCAAGAGAATCGCTTAAGCCCAAGAGTTGGAGGTTGCTGTGAGCTGTGATGTCACTGCACTTGACCCAGGGCCACAGCTTCAGACTCTGTCTCAAAAAAAAAAAGTAGAAAAATGTTGATTTAGTTAAGAGCAGCATTTGTGGCTCAGTGAGTAGGGCGCCAGCCCCTTATACTGAGGGTGGCGAGTTCGAACCCGGCCTTGGCCAAGCTGCAACAAAAAAAAGCCGGGTGTTGTGGCAGACTCCTGTAGTCCCAGCTACTCTGGAGTCTGAGGCAAGAGAATTGCCTAAGCCCAAGAGTTGGAGGTTGCTGTGAGCTATGACACCACAACACTATACCAAGGGCGACAAAGTGAGACTCTGTCTCTAAAAAAAACAAGTTGATTTAAATAAAGATTCTGTACATTAAAAAACATTTGGTGGCTTGTTGCCCATTGCTCAGTGGTTAGGGTGCAGGCCACATACTGCAACTGGCATGTTTGAACCCAGCACGGGCCTGCTAAACAACAATGGCAACTACAACAACAACAACAACAACAAAAATAGCCGAGCATTGTGGCAGGCGCCTGTAGTCCCAGCTACTTGGGAGGAGGCTGAGGCAAGAGAATTGCTTAAG